CATACGTTTCTTTAGAAAAATATTTTTACATTTGTTGCCATTTTTGGAGTATTTAGACTTGAGACTTTGACATTTTACGAACATAAACCTGCTCTTTCCATTTGCATAATTGGTGTCTTTGATCAAAATTGCGTATGATTTCTAGATAGTTAGATTCATATCCATGTTTGAATAGTTTGTAAAATTCTAATTTTTTGGATTGGTTTCATTGAGATTTCCACGTTTCGAAATAAAATGTTTCCATTTTGTCGTGGCAATCTGTTACATGTATGGTACATTTGGACACTATGAGCATACAGCTATTTCAAAAAATGTTGTCAGGGAAAACGGTGAACAACGATTGTCGAAGGGAGATTGAACGACCAAAACGGACTATGGTTACACTGTTTTGATAAAGAAAATTTCACCTATTGGGTTCACATTACATTGAAATGGAGACTAAATGGAGGTAATGGAGACAATGCTTTCCACAGACAATCTGAAAGTATAAATCACCTGTTATTGTCTTTCAACTAGCAAAACCCAAGGCTACTTTCGGTCGTGCAATCGCCGTTCGACCATTGACATTCGCCATTTTGTCTGACAACCTTTTTTGAAATAGCTATCTATATGCCTGAGAATTGGCCATTCCGAAATTCAAAAGGAGACTGGGAACGAGTGTGAAAATATTACATTCATCGAAAACTGAACCTCACCACATGAAAGACCACACTAAATAAGTGTTCTTGTCAAGTTTGAGCATATTTGGTTGAATACTCACCGAATAGGATTTTTTTCAAATTTGTAAAAATAAGAGAATGTATGTTTTTTGGGGTCGCTGCTCAAAACCTTCATACGTTCTTTGTAATTTATTTTTTCGAGTTTTAAACGCATGAAAACTCAAATTATTCATCTGAATACTCTCAAGAGATCCCGGAGACTGCATTCCACAAATCCTAAAACTCGAATCCTAAAACTCGAATCCTAAAACTCGAATCCTAAAACTCGAATCCTAACTCGAATCCTAACTCGAATCCTGACTCGGAAAATAGGTATCCTCCCCTAAGGCCAAAATACCTTTTAGTAATTTTTTATAGTATATGTCAGTCAAAAATATTGTTATGCTCACTAATGCTAGTAGTATAATTTCTCGAAATGTCACGTATATAGTATGGTTAGGTGATACAATGCAATGGGACAAACAGGCATGAAATCCGCGATACCAAGAACGTTATTATTCATTTCTTAATTTTTTTTCTGAAGATCTAGAGAAAATAATTATTCACCGTACAAACTCTTGTAGATTGCCTCGATTTTGGAGCTTGGGCCTCCTGTGGTCACTGGCATGTGTTCCACGCGGAAAATCTAGGATGCGGAAATTCTGGTTGTAAATAATAAGGAAAAATGKCTGAACTTGCTCTTGTGGCAGTAGTAACAGTAGCCGCCAAAGTTGCAAGAGAAAGAATAAGAAAACGAATAGTTTCTAATTTGAGGGAAAGTGACGTTACCGGGCAGCATCTCAGACAGCTTTTGATCACACCGGTCAATGACATCAGRCAGAAGCTTGATGGTCTTGCCAGAGCTAGCCTGCTCACAAGTTTACAATTATATGAAGAAGGAATGATTTTTCTCGACCAGTACATAGAAAATACCATTCAAGATTCAGAATCTTCAACAAAGGATCTTCACGATATCGAACATCTCCAAACCACATTTAATTCACTGCCGGTTAAAGCCAACGCGAAAGGTATTAAATCTGGCAGTGCTATGGTAGGTGCTCTAGAGGCCAAAAGAGAGGCGAGAGAGAAATTCGGCAAGTCTATTGAAAGTGCTCAAGAAGCCATAAGTAATGCTGCATTAAAGTTAAAAGATCGAATTTTAGCTGCTAGGGTACGCATGATTGGAACCATTYTCAAGTAYTTCGATGACAGCCCCATAGCCTTGAGGTTATGTAAAAGCTACATCAACCAGCTAAACGAAATGCCTGAGGTGTTAAAAAATGCAAAAGTGCATTTTGCTAATGGATTTGTAGCAGCAATGAGAAGGAAGCTGTCTATTGATGAGAGAAGTGAGCTAGTTTGGTCTGTGATTTCAATCAACAGAGTGTTATGGGATTATGCTCATGCCTGCAATGCAGACAGTTCTTACTGCGAAGACTGGCCACTTCTTGAGATTCGTGRAGAAAAGAAACTTCACCCACTTCACCCTATCCTTGATGTAGCCGTTCGAGAGATGAATAGTCAGCAGCTTAAGGAAGTCTCAACTAACCTGTCAAGCTCAGCTGAAAGTATTGCGGTAGCTTCCAATGGATGCTTTGTTGTCGATGACAATAAATGTATAAAAGTCTTCAGTGCTGCTGGCTATTATATGTTTGCTTGTCAGTTCGACACTGTAGATGTAATGATGCAAGWTGCCCAAGAAGAGCAAAAGCCTTTCCCATCTCATGATTCCAGTAACCTTTTCAAGCTGAGTTGTGTCGCAGTGAATGATGATTTCACCATTTTTGCACTAGGATCTAGCCGGAGAAGAAGAGAAGATCATTCCATACAAGCTGAGGTATGCATTTTCAGCTGTGATGGAGACTTTGTCAAATCCTTTGGCAAAGCGGTTTTTAGTGTTGATTCTGTTCTTACTAGCATGGCGATAGATTCCAGTAATGGCCGTCTACTTATTAGTGACGACCATGCTCGCTGTATCCATACTTTCAAYCTCAATGGGGAGTACCTGTCAAAGCTATGTAACTGGGAATATCATCAAGGCTACTCACACATAGCTGTCAARCAMAATGGAGRCATTCTTGTTACGCATTGGGATCATGTTAGGATCTATGACAGCGAGGGGAATTTAAAGATCRAAGCAYATTATSGAATACCATTAGGTGAGTGTCTCAATGGGGTRGTACGMATCACGACTCACGGCTAAAAATTTGGCTATTTCACGACTCACGACTAATTTTTTCTCATTTAGGTGGGATAGCATATGATAGTGATAGGCAAAAAGTCTATGTGCTCTGTAAAGCATTTAGAGTTAGAGACAGGTATTTCAAGCCAAAATTAGTGCAAGTTTGTGATAACCAGTGGGACCGGCCGCAGCCACAAACGATTCAACTACCAAGTTCCTACTCGTCATCCGAAGGCATTGCTGTCACACCAGCAGGTTTTGTTGCTGTTGTAAATGTGAGCGGAAATGAAGTAATAGTGATATGAACTGTAATATTGCACATTTATCAAATCTATCTGGTAAGCCATTCACGTTTTAGTTAGTAATACATAATTATATAACTGAGATAAATGCACAAAACGTAGCTCAATCCATACTGACTGTGAACAGAGCCACTACAATGTAAACAAAATACTTAGTGGTGAGAGACCCAGTTTTAAAGTGCAAGTCTATTTTCAATTTGCGTGGGGCATGGTTACCCGATCCAGAGATTCATGTATAAAACACTACACTAGGTAACAGCTAAAAAAGTATCAAACTTTCAAGAACTCATTAATAATTCATGAGCTATTAGTCCAATGAGCATCGAACTATTGGGTCACATGATAGGCCTTTATATCCCGATGTTTTATTAATCAGTTCTATATCAGATATAACTAGAACTGATTTTCAAGTTCATGAGGGCTTTATCGCAACCCAACACTAGCAAAGGTCTCAGCTTAGACATTTGCTAGGTTTTACAGTCAAAATAGACATGAAACGCGCACCTTCAAAACGCCATCATCCAATTCATTATTCAATTCTTGGTCGATTCAACATTACATTATTGAAATCAAATTTGAATTAAAACTTCGAAATTTGATTGGATTATTGCAGTTATTGGTCAAATTTTCACTATAAAGCCTTCTCGTATTTCGTTTGTAAACATGCTGTTCTTTTGTAATTTTCACACGTCGATGCATTGCAATTAGTCTCCTCTCGCAGCCGTTAGGACGTTCGTTCCCAGGTCACTCCCCCCTAGGGGGAGTGACCTGGGAACGAACGTCCTAACGGCTGCGAGAGGAGACTACATTGCAATATGCTGTCTGTAATTTGGTTGTTCCTTCTCGTGAGAAAGGAATGACGGTCTGAAAAAGCTGAAAATGCTGTGTTGTTTTCTGTCATTATCAGAGTTCGAGATTTGAATTTAATTTTGCATTAATCAACTGAAGTTTGAAAACGAAAAATAAAATGAAAAATCCAATAATGCACTGAATATTAACGAACTATTCCGGGGGGGGGGGGGGCGCTTCGTGTCTTTTTGACTGTAAATCAGTTTCAATCAGTGTGCAGACATGTAGTTTAGCATAGACTAGCTGTTCTTCCGTCTGGGATCGACATTCTTTCAATTGTTGCACAATGTACCTGCTCATTAGAAGTTTAACATGCATTATCACTGTTTTCGCATTTTTTAGCTTTTTTTCTAAAGTCGTTCGCTGCTCAAATATATATATCCCGATAAAACATGCATTCTCGTTCAGTAGTATAATTAAACAACACATAAATATGTACATACAAAGATTCGTTCAGTGACGTTCCGCTAGTACCTCTAAACCCTGATCCTACTCAAGACAGCGGAAATCGTGAAATTCCATACCCTATTCAAGAAAAATTGGTAAAATGTCGACCCTATCCAAGACATAAACCGCAGGTAGTGTCAATTATGTCATCTTTTTTTTTCCATTTCATTTCAACCTTATAGTCTACTAAATGAATATTGAAACCCTCTATAAAACATAGCAAACATAGAAGGTACACCAATATTCAAGACGTACAATTAACTGAGGGCAAACTATATTGACCTTATTCAAGACGCGAAAGCCAAAAACCATTCCCTATTTGGCGCAGGAAGGTCTCCGTATAGTAAATAGGGGAGTAGATATAGAAATGAAAGAAAGTTAATAGATAATTATAATTAATAGAAGTTTAATATATAATTACTGAGGCACGCAGCATTCGTAGGTATAATGCAGGCAGCTTAGGGTACACTGATATTATCAAAATCCAATTGTTTTCTTTCTAGCTTAATTGTTTTTCTAAAATACTTAGGATACTACGCGCGCTGTGATTGGTCTAAAACCATGTTTGATTACAGTATCAAAACACACTCGCGCGCGTCAAAAATTTCTTTTATTCTTTTAATTTTACGCGTCGTGGTTTCCTACGCTTCTCTCGTGCTCTCCCTACATCCCGCGTGTTTTGATCAGAGTATCAAACACGGAATTTCGTCTTTTATTCCTTAAATCATAGGAGCAATGCCAATAATGAAAGTTTAAACGAACTTCGAACTAGAGTTTTTTTTAAGTCGTGAATTTATTTATCTGAACACAATAACTTAATAAACAAAATAGCCTTAGTAGCTGCTAAAAATCAGCAAAAACAACGAAAACATGCAAAATTGTGTTGTCTTCGATCGATGTAAGTATAATTGCAGTTTTGATGGTTGAGGCGGGGATAGCGATTCCTTATTTTTCCGATTTGTCTTGAACAGGGTATGGATTTTTACTTTCTAGTGTCTTAAACAGGGTATTAAGGGTTTTACACCGCTGGCGGCACGTACCTATCCAAAATGGGGTCGAGTACCCCCCTCCCCCCCGGGGGCTCGATACTAAATCCACCGATAATTTCTAAATGGGTGCTGGGTCATTGTAAGGACTCATAAGTAGTTTTCTTAAAAAAAACGGCTTTCATCCTTTAAGTCCGGCAAGCCATTCTGCAATATTTTCAATATTGTTGTCTGTTTTGAAGCAGACAGCAATATTTTAAATATTCAGCAGGAGGCAATTCCGGGAGAAAGACCTCGCTGGGATTCGAACATATTCATATTTAAGGGAGTGACAGACTACCTCTTCCCTTTGGGCATTTAATGTGAACTACTTTTAGTGTTATTTGATGTTTCTTTTTTATTTCTGTACGATTTATCCAGTTGTTGCATTTAAATTGCGAAAGGAAGCACATTTCTAGAACTATATATTTCGTAGTTTTTAAACTAAGAAAAAAATTAGAAATTAAAATTAGAATTTTTATAACTCAAAAGGCATTAGGCTATCGCACCAGCTGATTTAGTGCAGTGTTGCTGCCGTAAATGTGGACAAAGATTAAGTAACAGTAATATGAATTATTATAATGTTATGAATAAACTTTCTTTTATTCACATATAAATTTTATAGCTAATATAATCAGTACTGTTATTGTCTTCTTTGCTTGTCGTGATTATTATCAAAGCTTCTGATCATGTTCTGATAAATGGATCTTGAAAGGATAGTTGGAGTGAAAAGCAATCGATCGAGCAAGTCCAGAAACACGCTGCTCCTTTGTCACTGTCACTACATTGTTCTTGTAGAACACGAATATCAGCTTGAGATTGGGTAGAGGTGTGTAATTAAATAGAGTTTTTTACTAGGGGTTGAAGAGGGCAGTATATACTAATCTACGGTAAACATTTTAGTCGAAGCTACATCACGCCCCCAGCCGCCAAGTGCAGCTCCAGGTACACGAGGTTTTCGGTCATTATAGCTTTGAAGGTTCAACTGACTGTCCTAGTTAGGGCAGCCCCAAGTGTCTCTAACCCGCTAGGTCCCGTGTTGAGTTGTCGGTTTGCCACAGATCGGCCTAGATTCAAACGTCCAGCAGCCGCCCAGCTCTGTTCTTTTGATTTGAAGTGAGAATCAATTTGTTTGACGATTCAAAACACTTTTACAGCTTCCCCTGGAGTGGGTGGGCGGCCCACTGTTTTTCTTCCTATATTCAATTTTTTTGTAAAGCGCATCAGAACTTGATGGATATTTTGCGCTTTATAAATACTATTTATTGTTATTTATTATTACTATGTGCACGTCAGCGCAACATATATGGAAGCCGTACGACAGACACATCTCGTTAATTCTGTTAAATGCAGTTTATTATATCTTGTTTTAATACAATCAGTTTTATCAAACTTAGTTAGCTAAACATCAAGTACAAAATATTCTATCGGTGACTTTGGCAAAGTGCCATCATAAGATCTACAACTAAAAAGGTTATCAATACAATTTGAATTAACTAAAAGAACTGTAACGATAGAGTCGATATATCTCTAGTGTTGAAAGCATTATAAAATTTCGAAAGAAAGAACCAATGTCTTTAAGGTTACTGCCTACTTTTGAACGTTCGATTGCACGCCCGCTCGGAGCCAACGCCCACATACTACTGAGTGTCTCATAGCACCCATGCATGCCCATCATAACAAATAAATACTCTGCAATCATCAAAACTGCAATTATACTGACACCCATCAAAGACAATAAGACGTTTTTGATAACACGTTAATCCTGGTACAGTGAAAAAAGATGATAATCACAGGCCCTACAAACTTCCACACAAATTGCCTTGTAATCATTCGTTTTGTTGATTTCAACCACTACCGATCAAAATTAGCATAAGAAAGAGACTTTGCTAGAAGGAAATTAATATCACAGCACATAAAAAATGGTTGTAGGCCCCTGAGCTATAAGAGCAATTATCTATAAGCACATATTCCATCACTGATGTACACACCATAGTTAGGTTAAGCTTAACCAATACCTGGCGATGCGATACCAAACCATTTATCAAAAAGGCCTAGAGGAACACCTTTAGTGGTAATGTATACCAGATGATGTCCAGTATTTTTGCCTTCGAGTTGCTCCATCAGCCGCATGGAATTTGAATTCCTTCCAGTGCTGCAGGGACAATTAATGATAGCTGTTGGGCTAGAAGAAGAGAGCCCATGGGATAACATCTCTTCAAACAATGCTGCTAGTAGCACCTTTGCAGCCTCAACAGAGTCTGCAAACAGCGGGCCAAGTATGTAGCCCTCTTGCTGACGGTACGCCACTCTTGCAACAGCATATCCGGTAATGGCTCCATCGCTGTTGACAGCTACCTTAACGTGACTTCCTTTGGCGTGGAGCAATTTGATTAAGAAACTGTGTCGCTGGTAGCCAAATACAGCTGTATCATACCTCAGCAGAGTTTCTTGATGGACATTGTTGGTGTTTTTCGTCGATGTTAAGCCATTTTGATTGGATGGAATGGCTTTGAGGATTTCAAGGGTTTTCGGCATGTCGAGTTTATGTTGTAAGCACAGCCACTGAGCTCGAAAACCATGAATCTCGTATTTTTCCACCATGTTTGGGACAGAATATGCAGAGATGTTTTGAGATGAATTGATGTCTTTGAATACAGTGCTGAAAATCTTCATTCCATATCCCATACCACGATATTTCTTATCGACAAGGTAGAACCCAAAATGCGAATATGCGTTGCCATACTTTGAGAAACAAACGGTTGCAATTGGCTTTCCGTTGAGCTCGCCTATATAAACCCCAGGATGTTCGCCACATAAGAGGGATTCAGTATCTTCCAATCCTGATTGCCACTTTTCTGATGCCATTGTTTCATTAATAAAGAAAATGGCTGAAATATCATTTGATCTTATTTCGTGAATTTCAAGCTCGGCCATGGTACCTCCAAGGCAATCGATGATCTTTTGGAGAGGTTCTCAGTTCTTGTAACTCTACAGGCTTTGTTCACCAATGACGGTCATGTATTGCTTTAGGTTTATGTTATGCATATAGTTATTTTTTCGAGTGTTGATATTTGAAATTTAAAATATATTAGTAGTTTACTGTGTAACTCTCGGTTTGACCGCGGCGAGGTGCACGTGGTTGTCAGGACTTCAGCAAGACCGTATTAGAATTCGAATTAGTAACAGTCAATCAAACAACCTCGTTCCCAGGGCTACTCTGCTCGCTTTTTTCAAAATGGCGGACAGAGATAGCCCTGGCATTGGCCGGTCACGTGACACCCRCTCTCAGTGGGTGTTYAGTKTGGATTACCGCTGAATGCAGGCGCTATTTGGTTTTGGAAAATTATAATGTTCGGAGAGCAACATTTGACTTTTTTCAACTTTTCAAAACATTCTGAAAAGCTAATTTTCACACGTTTTTAATGCAATCTGGAAGATTCCCGCCAATAATTTCATTACTTCCGTTCCGCGTTTGAATGCACGTCCAGAAAAACTTCATCAAAGAAAGAAAAGGAAAAACTTTAGTCAATTTTGAGGGTTTGTCATGATCAATCCAGTTTAGCAAACTGTGGCCCTAAAAGAAACAGTCCTGACTACCTTTTCGCTTCAAGTGATTGACAACAAGGAGAGCTGATGTTCCAGGAAGCTTAAAAGAATGTTAAAGATCAAGAGGAAAAAACAGCGGATTTGTGAACTCTCTTTTTGAATTGTCGAGTAGTGTACGTTAACCTATTATGGATTTGTCGAAGACCAAAGCAGCTGTATAAACATTCAAGAGATATCGACTCAAATCATCGAGATGACTGAAAACAGGAATTTGAAAAATCGMTTAGGCTGCTGAAGACTGTGGCGAATTGTTCAAATTTATAAGGTAACTTAACTTAAAAGAAAATGTCAATGTTTGTTGAAGAAGTTCAATCATGTCAATTGATGTCTTTTTAGTCCTTTTTCATGGCTTATCTCGCTGAAATATCTACAAATCTATCTAGAAAGTCTAGAAAGTTTGAATACGCCAATTCATCTAAAGGCCGTGTCACACTGGCGTTTTTTTCGTGCAACTTGTGTCGCGCAAAAAAATGTTGAAGTTGCACGAGCGTTTTTTTACGTGTGACACCCCCTCATGCAACTTGAACATTTAATTTTTTTGTTGAGAGAAAAGTAGAACTGGCTTCTACTTTTTTCAACATTTTTCGGAAAAACGCGTGTGTGACATGGTCTCTTGCAACTTCCAAATTTTTGAATTAGGCGCACGAACCCATAATAAAGCGAGAATTTGTCCTGTTGTCACTTGTTGTAATAATCAACAAAGATGCCCGACGCCGTCTTTGGCGAAAGCGATAATTTTGAAGAAGAAAACGAGACATAAAGTGAGGTGATCGTACATTTTCAATTTACGCGTGCAACTTGAACATTTTTTGTGCGAGCTAAGTTGCAACGGAATTTTGCTAGTGTGACATGGCATCGTGCAACTTCAACATTTTTTTGCGCGATGACACAAGTTGCACGAAAAAAACGCCAGTGTGACACGGCCTTAAGCTAGAAGGCACTAAACTAAGATTTTTGAAAGTTTTTCTTTTAAAGTTTGAAAAACATTTTTGCAAAAAATGCGGCTAGGCATCTTTAATACTGTGTACATTCACACTGCGAATTCAGGCGAAAGAAAATCGAGTTTTTCGCCTATAATTTTACRTATATCGTTMWAAACWTACGTATCCAGATTGTACAACTTCCTCCTAATAATATCCCGTAAAAACGGCGTAAAAAAGTTCCATATCCACTGAAAAATCGAGCGATAAACATGAAAATACGAATTTCCGCCATACAAACTCTTGTAGWTCACRCTTTGTTTGCCCCTTGGCAATCCATGCATGCATTGCGTTTGGCGAGGGATCAAATTACTGGAAACTCATTCATTTGTTTGTTTCCATATATGGAATGGATTCGCTAAAGGAAGCCCAGAACTAAAAAGCACAGGGATACCGCACGAATGACATACAATTCTTAATTGATTGTTGTTATTTGAAATTTACAATATATTAGTTTATTGTGTGACTCGAGGTTTGACCGCGGCTAGGTGCACGTGGTTGTCAGAACTTCAGTAGTGCCACTAATCAATTTTGATCGGTTGTGACAAAGATGTCAAAAATGACTAATAAACCGCAAACTTCAACATATCCATCTAGAATTGTGCGAGTACTATTAAATGTTTGCCATATTTATTTATTATTCTTATCATTGTCATTATCATCATAAGCATATCATCATGATTATTATCAACGGTGAAGAAGATAAGATGTTCTACTTTGTATTTTTATTTCCATTCCTTACTGAAGGCAAGCCTATATTTGAGCATAATCACGGCATCATTCCAATGTTCCTTTTTTCGGACAACCATTATCAATAATTAATGAAACAAGACATTCAATTTCAATCGACATTCAATTTCAATCGTATTTCCATTAAATTTACAACCTTCGAGGAGCGCGATCAGTTTTCCAGTGATTCTTGGCTTGCAACCATCACGTGATATTCTAAAAAAGCTATTTAGAGGCTAAATTTGCGAAAGATTATTATTTTCCTCAAGAGAACATCTCAATTAAAGGATCATTACGAAATTTTGAGCCAAAATAATGCTTTTTAACAGAAATGCGAGCGATCGAAAATTGGTAGGAACCCCGGGAGGGGTTATTTGCATACCCTTCCCCAGACTAAAGGTACAAAGGTACATTATTTTAGCGCTGAAATCGTGGCCTAGCAGATACGATCACAGGCAAAACTCCACCCTATCCCAGAAAACCAGACTATACCCTATACTAGACAAAAAACTACCCTATCGCAGACAAAACTACTACCCTAACCCAGACAAATGGACAAAAAATGATCCCTATCCCAGACTTGGTGTTCCGAAAAAGGGACCCTATCCTGTGGCACATACCCGTATAGCAAATATAGTACCCCCCGGGGTCAGAATGTATGGGATTTTCACGGGTCAACGCGTTTTAGACTGGTCAAGAAATACCTACAAAAAACTTTGTTTTAAGATCCAAATAATTTTTTTTATGTCCAAGGCCAAAAACAGCATATAATTCCCAACAGTTATGTAAAGTTTGAAGTCAAAGTGCGATTTTGTAGCAAAACTACAAGCATTTGAATACGTTCTTCCTTTACAAGGGAATGTATGCGGCAGCCATGTTGGAAGACGACTCATATCTTCCAACATGGCGGATGATATTTTAAAGGTTTGAGAAGAAGGCAAAATCGAATATATTTTCGATCATTTTCTACAATAATATACTTAAAATGGATACAAGGATACTATATGAGGCCAAATATCAAATTGATACCAATTTTTTCATCTGAATTGGATACGTGACTGCTATTGCGTGACACACATTCAAGCGTAAATCATATATGAAAATTAGATCRAAAAGAGTCTTGGGAACTACAAAAACTTTTATGAAACCCAACCTTGGCAAKGTCGATARTGAACTATCAGCGAGAACTATTTAATTGATTATTGTAATGACCATATTCTTATGTGCAGAATAGACACATCATAAATCTAACATGATAGTAGTTTTGGGAAGATAGCCACTGATATATAGCTGTAAAATAAAAGGAAAAAAGCAAACAAAAAAGCAAACRAAACAGTACCAAACAATCTACTAGTTGAGTAATAACTCATTGCTGACCAAAGAAATGTGCATTATCTAATTAATAGAACTTTTATAATATTCATAATTTTAACAATATAATCATCCTTGACACAGGCAGCCCAATTGTTAYATATGAAACATATAGTTCATAAAATGCTAGGCCATGCTCATATATCATGGAATTCATGTGGAATCAAACTAGAGACCATTAAGTCGGTTCCAAGAGTCCCATTATTATTATTTAGTACCACAGGGAATMTGCATTTATCAAGAGCATGCGCTAACAAGARATAAATTAAAGTGTGCTCTTGTCTTGCTCTTTATTTTTTGATCCTTTTGATTATATGATCGAATGAAAACTTCTAAACACTAAYAATTTATTAGGATACAGGCTTCTCAATCAATTTTTGGACTGCCTGTGTCCCTAAAACATTTCTATTTTTATCAAGCAGTTATTTTCATCATTTAGTTCTTTGACTGAAGGCAWTTGAACTCCATTATGATAGAAAGGTGCTCTCTTTTTCTTCTAGAGTTCTATCATTTGTCAGTCTAACTTTCTTTCAATATTTCATGAAGCATTTTYTTGCGGTTTGCTGGTAAAGTACCAAAGTATTTCTTTTGCTGCTCTGAATACTGAGAAACAACAGGAATGATGTCTCTGAAGCTCCAATCTTGCCAATGATGGTTGAATTTTTCCAGAAGGTCAATCTTTTTATCATCTTCATTCACAATATCTTGTGGTTCWGCTTTTGGTAAAGTTGGAACTAAAACATCTTTAAAAATAATARTTCCTCTCATAGCAAACCAGCCACCATATTTTGGATGAATGGCAACACCATGTATTTTGGTCTTTGCATCCCATGGGTCATTTTTGACATCTTTTCKTTGATAAAAATAAGCTGCGCCTGATGCATGTGCAGCTGTCTGGACAAGAATTTTAGGTCTTCTGTTAGCATGAACTTCAAAATCTTGTATTGTTGTAATTTCAAAATCTTGAAACTCTTTTTTCACTTTACTGAATAATTGAGAGACAAACTCATCTAGTGGGTCGTTTGGTGTGTCTAGGCAATTGTAGTTAGTTATAAATGGTTTGAAGCCTTGCTCAAACATCTCAGGAGAACTGATTAYAATGAATGCTAATGTATCAGGGTCAAAGTCCAATTTGAATGCCTTGTGGGTAAGGAGATCGTTATACCACTTAACCTAATTATGTGAATAAATCAAATTTAACACAAATTAGGATGTTTGAAAAATAAGTAACAGAACAAAAGCCAAGCCTCTGGAAGCAGGGTACAGAATCACACAATGTTGGGGCTGAAATCTGCTCTAATTTTCACAAAAACAATTGAGGTTGGTACATCTTACTAACAYCATCTTCCTAATACTCTTGCATCTGGAAAACCCCTTCATAGGATGGGAATGATAATTGTCACTTTTAACAAATACCCAACATATCTTAAAAATGCTGATGATCATTCATGCCCTAAATATGAGTGAGTTTTTCTCAGGAATTCTACATATTTTAGTAGAAAAAGAGTT